GGGTTCCAAATAGCGCTTGGGGGTTTTCCTGATTCCCTCCTCCATGAACCGTCTGAGTCCTTGGTCGCTGCTTGGAATAAGGCGGCATCAGGGGCGTTAGACCGGATCGCGCCTTTGCGACCTCTCCGTGATTGTGGATCCCGGAGGGCACCTTGGTTTACTGAGGAGCTACGGGAGATGAAGCGTCAGAAGAGACGTCTAGAGCGATGCTGGAGGGCTAGTAACTCCAAATCGAACCTGACACTTCTAAGAGCCTATATTAGAACTTATTTAGTGGCGATACGAGCGGCAAAATGTTCGCATTTTTCCGCACTTATTGTGTCTGCAGAATCTCGCCCCGCCGCCCTGTTTAGGGTGACCCGTTCCCTACTTAATGTTCAGGAAGCTGGGGAGCCCTTACAGGGTAGAGCGGAGGAATTTGTGCAATTCTTATCAGACAAAATCGCTCGGATTCGGACAGACCTAGACTCCGATTGGGCAGGGCCTTTTGAGATGACTGGGGCAGGTCTTAGCTCAGTTTTATGGGATGAATTTGAGTCTGTGACCACTGAGGATGTTGACAGAGCGGTGGGAGCAATGAGCGCCTCCACTTGTTTATTGGACCCGTGTCCTTCCTGGTTGGTCTCGGCTGCCAAGGAGGTGACACGAAGCTGGCTCCAGGTGTTGATCAATGCTTTGTTGAGGGAGGGGTCTTTTCCACAATCCCTGAAGGAGGCGGTTGTGAGGCCCCTGCTCAAGAAGCCTACCCTGGACCCGGCTGATTTAAATAACTTCCGTCCAGTCTCCAATCTCCCCTTTGTGGGGAAGGTTGTAGAGAGAGTGGTGGTGCTCCAGCTCCGATGGTCTCTGGATGAAGCGGATTATCTAGACCCTTTTCAATCTGGCTTCAGGCCTGGCTTCAGCACAGAAACCGCTTTGGTTGCGCTGATGGATGATCTCTGGCGGACCCGAGACAGAGGTTATTCCTCTGTCTTGGTGCTACTTGACCTCCCAGCGGCTTTCGATACCATCGATCATGGTATCCTTTTGCGACGACTCGAAGGGGTGGGAGTGGGAGGCACCGTTTTATGATGGTTCTCCTCCTACCTCTCTGGCCGGTCGCAATCGGTATTGGTGGGAGGGCAGAGGTCAACCCCGAGGCCCCTTGAATGCGGCGTGCCACAGGGGTCGGTCCTCTCTCCCCTCCTATTTAACATTTATATGAAGCCACTGGGTGAGATCATCAGACAGCACGGGGTGAGGTTTCATCAGTATGCTGATGATATCTCCTCCCCGAGCTCTCTCAGTGAAGCAGCCGATGTGATGGGCCGTTGCCTCGAAGCCGTGAGGGTCTGGATGGGGGTTAACAGACTCAGGCTCAATCCTGACAAGACCGAGTGGCTTTGGATGTTGCCTCCCAAGGATCATGTCGACTGTCCAATGTTGACTCTTGCGGGGGAAAATATATCCCCTTCAGAGCGGGTTTGCAACTTTGGTGTCCTCCTTGATCCACAGCTGAATTTGGAACATCAATTGACGGCTGTGGCTGGGAGGATCTTTGCACAAGTTCGCCTGTTGCACCAGTTGCGACCCTACCTGGACCGGGAGGCTCTCCTCACAGTCACTCACGCCCTTGTCACCTCATGTTTGGACTACTGCAACGCGCTCTACATGGGACTACACTTGAAAAGTATTCGGAGACTACAGTTGGTCAGAATGCAGCCGCGCGAGTGATAGTGGGTGCTCCTCAATACACCCACGTTACACCTATCCTCCGTGAGCTGCACTAGTTGCCTATTGGTCTCCGGGTCCAATTCAAGGTGTTGGTCATTACCTTTAAAGCCCTATATGGCTCAGGGTCAGGCTATTTGCGAGACCGCCTACTACCTCATAGTTTCCTACGTCCGGTTAGATCCCACAGGCTGGGCCTCCTTCAGGCCCCGTCGGCCAAGCAGTGCCATTTGGCAGGGCCGTGGAGGAGGGCCTTCTCTGTGATGGTGCCCATGCTTTGGAGTCAGCTCCCCCCGGAGATTAGGACCACTCCCACCCTGTTGGTCTTCCATAAGCTACTTAAGACCTGGCTTTTCCGGCAGGCCTGGGGTTTATAAAACCTTACCCCTGGATGATTGTTTTTGTATTGTTGTATTGTTATGTTTTATGTGTTTTTTTATTGTTAGCCGCCCAGAGTCCTTCGGGAGTGGGGCAGCTTATAAATTTTAAAAATAAAAATAAAAAAGTAAAACTTGGAAGGCTTCTTGAGAGTGGTCTTGGCCTTAGATTTGGGCTTGCCTGCCACCTCCTGTTCAGAGAATTTGTGGCAGCTGTAACTGGATGGAGAGACAGTACCCATGGGGTGAGGCATTGTGGAGTCCTCCATCCTGGTTGAGCAGTCTCAGGGAAACTTAGACAAAGCTCTGGCAGGCAAGCCGTTGGTGAAAGCGAGATTGGAACAAGTAACAAGACTGCTCCCCTGACCATCTGACCAGCAAACAATTCTCTCTGGGCTTTGGTCCCGGCAATTGAGTCAGATGCCGAAGGCATGGTTGGGGACCTGCTCTGGGCTCCGCCCGGAGGCCTTAGGTGGCCAGTCAAGGTGCACCAGAAAAAAGCCCCAATGAAGGGCGCAGAGGGCCTGAGATGAGGCCTGGCAGAGGCAATATGAATTCAAAATGGCGGTTCTAAAAGAAGATGGTGGCCTGAGAATTTGGGCCTAGTCAATAAATTCTTGGTACAGATAATGAGGCCCAATAGCAGTGGCTGGACAGGGCTAAAATAATTCCTCAGATGAGCTGAGAATTAGTCAGAATATAGGGAAGCCTTGTAGAAAATCTTGGGGCTTGCAATCAGTGCAGGAGGTCTGATTAATAGGCCTGAGGGAGGGCCTCACAACATTCCCAAGATAGTGGCCGCAGCCAACTCTGCTAAAATCCCTGGGGTGGCCAAGGTAGTGTGAGTGGCCTGAAGTCCCAGGGAAAGACCCTGTAGCACACAGAGGCCCACAGCACTCTATCCGGCTGATGAACTTTACAGGGCCGGCCGCGTGGCGCACCCAAAATGGCGGCCGTGGCACACTTGTGCAGTTACCTAGGGCCGACAAGGATTGCTAGCATTCCTGAGGCCCTTGTCCCTTACAACACAACCAAACCAAATGAATTGCCAGCTGGATCTGTTTCTGACGGCCAAGGGAACCTCCATTGAATCTGAGAACTCAGCAGCCGTCCAAAATGGTGGCCGCGACTTTCGGGCCGTTGAAAACGGCCTCCGGAGGTGTGGAGAACGAAGGGGAAACTCTGGGGCTGATTGTGGCTGCAGCGCTGAGTACTGCACAGAAAGGCCAATGGGGGAATTGGTAAATGATTTTCCTCCTCCCCCTGAGCCCTGGGGAAATTAACAGGGGGAGGAGGAAAAACACACACCCAGAAGCCTCAAATCAGCTGATTAGAGGCTGTGCTGATTCCAGCGTCTTGGGGGAAAATTTTTTGGGGAAATTAACTTTTTTTGAAAGAGAATCACTAATTAGGGAATATACAAATATCAAATTTAAAGCAAGGAGAATTCAACAACGGGTATCTGGCCTGCTAAATGAATTGAAGATCTCTAAACCTGAGAGCCAACCTTGATACGTCTTCAAGAGCTTGAGACCAAGTCAAGACTGGATCTCCTAGCAAGAGGGGGCGTGTGAAGTTTGCTACTTGGTCTCAGGAGCAGGCAGACAAAGAAAACCCACTGGTGGATTCTCCATCTCCTATACTGGAGAATAAGATTGGTTTGGCATGATCTGTGTTTACCAAACCCATGCTGGCTACTGGTTATGACTTTGTATGCTTCTAGTTGTTCCCAGATCTGTTTTTTGATTATCTTTTCTAGAATCTTCCCAGGTATTGATGTTAAACTGATTGGTCTGTAGTTTCCTGGGTCCGTTTTTTTCCTTTCTTGAAGATGGGAAGCACATCCCTTTTCCCATCCTCAAGTACTTCCTCGGTGCTCCAGGATTTATGAAAGATGTGGTGCAATGGTTCTGAGATCTGCTAGCTCTTTCAGAACTCTGGGAGTTAGGTCCCGGTGATTTATATTTGTCAAGGTATGATAGGTGCTCTCTCACCATTTTCTTGCCTATTTTAATTTTTGTTTCTAGTATGTCTTTTGCAATGGTTTTTTTTTTTTTTTTGGTATGTTGGGCTATAGTTTCTTTTTGTGTGAAGACTGATGCAAAGTATGAGTTAAGCAGCTCTGCTTTCTCCCTGTTGCATATTATTTCCTTGCCCTCTTTAGCGGGCCTACAGTTTCCTTGATTTTTTTCTTGTTGTTAATATGTTGGAAGAAACTTTTTTTATTTCCTTTGTTTGTTCTGAGCCTTTGCTTTCCTGATTTCATCTTTGCATGTTCTGGCTGTCTGCTGATAATCGGTCTTAATTATGTTCCCCTTTTCCATTTTTTATATTAATCCTTTTTAATATAAAGTTTGTCAGAGAGATCTTTGCGCAGCCATGCTGGTTTCTTCTTGAATTTCTTGTTTTTCTTTCTCAATGGTATCGTGTTGGTCTGGGCTTTTATGATTGCATTTTTCAGGGTTTCCCATGCTTCTTGGGTTGTTTTCCCCTTTAGGATTTTCATCCATGGGATCTTTCCTAGGTTCTCTCTCTGAGTTTGTTAAAGTCAGCTCTTTTGAAGTTTAAGACACTGGTTGGATTGTTTTCTATTGCTAGTGTTTGCATTGTATTAAATTCCAGTATGATGTGCTCACTTTCACCCAAGATTCAGGCAATTTCAATTCCCTCTATCACTTCTTCTCTATTTGTAAGCATTAAGCCCAGGATAGCTTTACGTCTAGTTCCCTCCTCCACCTTTTGGGTGACAAAATTGTTGGCTAGGTTGGTTAGGAATCTGTTTGATCTCCTGCTCACTGCAGAGTTTGTCTCCCAGTTGATATCTGGATAGTTGAAGTCTCCCATTACTACTGTAGTATGCTTCCTACATATGTTTGTTAACTGGTTAGCAAAAGTTCATCTATTTCTTCTGATTTGTTGGATGGCCTGTAATATACACCTATGGCAATGTCACTTTTTTCTCTTTTATATTGACCCATATACATAATTTACATAAAGGATCATAATGTTATTTTTATATTTTACATACCTCCTGACCCAGGCACATACTTACCATGAAAATGGGCATAAATTCTCCCCCTCCACAAATAGATACTCATCACATTAATGATCATATATGGCATAGCTTATATATACCTGTAGACTGGTTCTAACTGTTACAATTAGCTTCAGCCAGGATGGAAACTTTCCAATGGTTTTGCTGAGAAACGATACAATCGTATCCCCATAGTCTGGTTTGTGAAATTCTGCTTCATTTAAGCCATCAATCAATATGATGAAATCTTCATTTGGGATCTTCCGTTCTACAGTTTGTAAGAGAGAGGTAGAAAAATATATGCAAAACTATATTAGATTATATGTTTTAAACAATTATGTAATCATTTATAGTTATGGAATTAAATTCCTACCTTTATGAAGGCTTTCCAAGGGTTCTAGGACTCCCCTCCGAAAAGATGCAAGAGGATCTTGAACACAGGATCGCAAGCTAAGCATGCTTTGCAGATGTGGTTCACGCAACAGTTGCTCTCTGTACGCAACAAACTGGGGAGAACGGCAGAGCAAGGCTGCTACATTGTGTACAAATTCTGGCACCAGACAGGTGTAGGCATTATCAGCTTGGCAATAATGATATGCAACAACCTAGAAAAAGGGAAGCAAACATCAACTTCTTAGTACATGCATATTAAATAAAAACATTGCTTTGTTTCATTCAATATAATAAGAGAAAGGTTTGTCCAATATCTGGAACCTAAGAAGATCTAACAAAGAAATATTAAAGACCTAATGATTCTCATAAACCCTAGATTAGGATAATGGCTGTACCGCTTTGGTTTTTGGTTCTGTCTCCCATTCAGCTGTACTCTCTTTTATATATACTGTTTCTCTTATTTTTTATATAGTAACTCAATCAGTTTTGCTGTGGAGTCAGGTAAAATAATGGAAATAAAGAAATATAAAAATAAATAAAAATTTATTTATTTATTTATTTATGAGACTTATATACCACTTTAAGTGCAAGCACTCTCTAAGCGGTGTACACCAGTAAGCAATGTATATATATATTTACATTGCCCCCAACAATCTGGGTCCTCATTTTACCTACCCCGGAAGGATGGAAGGCTGAGTCAACCTTGAGCCGGTGAGATTTGAACCGCTGACCTGCTGAACACAGTCAGCTAAAGTGGCCTGCAGTACTGCACTCTAACTGCTACGCCACCTTGGCTCTTCAATTGTCAAAACACAAACATTAATAAATCTAACATATTTGTTAGAAATAGTACTTGGTAAATGGTATATTAAACTGCAACACTCTGTTTTAGATTTCTAAAACTAAATTAATAAAATGTGCAAACATTTCAGGAGACACTAAGCTCCTTGGGGCCATTGTTGCCTCTGTCCCTAAAGAATAGATAAATAAGCATTTGCCCCTAAGAGTCCTTCAAAAGGCTGTCACCAAATTTTAATATATAAGAGAAAAAAATAAAATTGTTTTAAAAAGTAAATTAATTATTTGTCTTATTCTGCTTTTATTGCATTCAAATATTAATAACATTTTATTTTATTTTTAAAACAACCTGCAAATTATGATTTACTGCAACTGCATAAATTTAATAAATTTCTTTTCCACAAATAGTATTTTTGTCATCTAATATAGAAATAGCTTGGTACTAGGGAACATATTTGTGACAGGTTAATTTACAGAAGGCTGTTAATAGTCCACAATCCCTTTCCCTACAATCCATACTGTTGCAACCACTCTCCCATTATCTAGATCCATTTACAAATGGTTAACTGTAATCAAAGATAAAGAGAGACCTGGCTATGCAGGCTCATATATTCTAGAAAAGATAGAAGGAGATAGAACTTCTTGGATTGGGCTTCTTTCAGTCAATTCAGTACTGCAGGGTTTGGATAAAGCAGTTTCTTTTTGAAGTAAGAAAAAGTACAGCTCCAATACTTTTTCTAATTGATCCATTATTAAGGTGAAAGACTTCAAGCAGTATGGTGCATGCAGTACCCGAAAATATTTCTCCGAAAATAAGACTTGATCTTATAATTTTTTTGCCTCCAAAAGAGACAGTAAGTCTTATTTTGGGGAGACGTGTTATTTTTTTCCCCAACACCTGCCTAGTGGCAGTGGCATCAACAGCCCCATCTAGCAGGAGCCCACGCAGCTACTGGCCCACTTCTGTGGCCGCTCGCGGCAGGAGGCCAAGTGGCCCACTGCACTGTGCCACCTCAAGGTGAGGCAGGTGGGGAAAGGGGTGGAGCTGCCCCAAGTGCCCCATAGGCACCCAAACACTTTTCGCCTGGACGGAGAAATGACAGCGACTGAAAGCTTTGTCTGCTTGCAAATGGAGCACTTGGAGACAGAGAAAATTGCTTGGTTTCTAAGTGCCCCATTCACAAGCAGATGAAGCTTCCAATCTCCCTCTGGGCGGAAAGTGTACGATGCATCTGGATTGCCTGCCTCCCCTCCCCACCTCTGCCTCCCTGCTCAGACTGACCTGCCCTGCGCCATGGGGCCAGCGGGCTGCGGCTGCTGCCGGACACCGTCAGCCCGTGTGTTCACTGCCCCTTGTGCTGGCCATGCCCACCCCCGGGATTATTTTTGGGGTAAGGCTAGGGCTTATTTTCAGGATGGGTTTTATTTTCGGGGAAATGCAGTAAGCAATTGAGCATTTGTTCACTGATGGCTGCCTCCAAACACTCAAAGTGCGCCCTACTGATCTTCTTCATTCTGAATGAATACAGACTGAAAAGTGCTAAGCTTTTCTTCTATAAATATACAATATTGGTTCTGAAAGGCAGTAGTTCAGTTTTTAGGAAATCTAGGGAAATGATCTCTGATTTTAACTGAATGTGTCTGGTATGAAACAACTGAGCAAAGCACCACCTCTGATTTGATAGAAGAAAGGCAGTGAAGACAAAGTGACAAAGATGATTAAATCATAGGGATAATTTTCCTTCTGCTGAGAATGGGGAATACCAGCTTTCTTCCAGCCAAAAACTTTATAATGGCTTAATTTCTTTCCTGCTATTAAAGAACCATTTTGAGTAGTTATAAGGATTATGACATATATATTTAACAATATCTGGCTTTAGATGGGGGAAAGAATTTGTGTGTATGTATATGAGTATACGTGCATTTGTGTGAGGAAATCTAACAGAGGAAAAGTTTATAAATATGAAGAAATTGTGCATGTGTCCATGCATGTGAAAAGATTATTGCTGGTAGCTATGTATGTATATATTAATATATATCCTTTCAAAGGCCTTGTCTGGCATCTGTTTTGTTCTTGCATAATTGCTTAAAGAATATTAGTAACTTCCCTTATCACATTTGGTGCTATGAAGACAGATTCAGATTTCGGTTCTTGAATACAGAATGAAAAGAAAACATTTAATGGAATAACCATTTTATACCTGAGCAGCAAGTCTTCGCATAGCTTCTTCTTGGCGTCTGCGCATTTCTGGAGTTCCAGGGCAACTCCCACTGGTAATAGAGGGGTGAGCAGAGGGTTGCTGGGTAAGGGGAAGTTCTCGATTTGCATCAACATCTGGAATATAGATGAATAAGAATAGATTAGAGTTTATCTGGTCTCTTAAGGATACAGGCTGAATAGCATGCTTGTGACTAAATTCAATGAAGGATTGTAGGGCAGAAAATATCAAACTTATTTAACATATATGGATAGAAATATGAGTTAGTATAAGGAATCATGTGAGTTTTTAAAAAAAGATTGGACAGCCATTTTTTTCGGAATAGTACAGGGTCCCCTACTCCTGCTTGAGCAGTGACTTTGACTAGAAGACCAAAGTACCTTCCAACTCTGTTATTTTATAATTCTGAATTGTGAAAAAAGAATTTGCTCTGGATTCTTCTTCCATAACATATTTAAAAAGATTAGTCTCTGAAAGGTCATATAGCATTTAATTACTCTGAATGTTTTTTTAATTCTATTTTGTAAATTTTTATCTTAGACAGCAAGAGAAAAACAAATTATATTAATAGCCTTAAAAATTGCACTTCAAAATAAAAGTCTATTTAAAGTAATACAAAGAAAAAACAAATTATCCTGATACAATCCAAAACCAAGAAGCAAATGTAGCAACATAGGAGATGGATGATGCAAATCAAAATACTGTTACATAATAAAATTGGAGAGACTACCATGCTGACCCAGCCTGCTATAAATGAAATAATGCTTCTCCCTTATTATCTGAATGGTAATGGTGTCCATAATTTTCTATAAATATTACCGAACTATTTTATAAAATTATAGATTAAATAAATCAAAGTGATATCCATCCAGCCATCCATCTAGTTATCTAGCTATCTAATTTATATGGCCGCCCATACAATGGAAAATAAATTATTATTATTATTATTATGGATCATCACACAGTCAGCCAGATGTTCAGACTGGATTTGGCATTTTGTCTACCTATCGAGTCCTTACCCAGCACCTGGGATAGGCAGATGTGGATGTTTGATGGTATTACAGATATCGTCGCAGGATGGAAGCAGTTCCTAGTAAGGCCCCCTTTTGCAATTGACTAATAGCGAATTTGTCAATGCCAATGGTGTTCAAGTGGTGCTCCAGTTGTTTTGGGATTGCACCCAAGGAGCCTATTACTATTGCTACTACCCTTGCTTGCTTTTGCCACAGTCTTTCTATTTCTATTTGTAGGTCTTTGTATTTTGTTATCTTCTCCAGTTCTTTCTCTTCTATTCTGCTGTCTCCAGACACTGCCACGTCCACTATCCAGACTTTTTTGTCTTTCTTATCGACAATTGTTAAGTCTGGGGTGTTATGTTGCAGGTGCTTGTCTGTTTGAATTCTGAAGTCCCAGAGCAGTTTAATTTTATCATTTTCTATGACTTTCTCTATTTTATGATCCCACCAGTTTTTGCTTACAGGCACATGATATTTTTTGCAGATCTTCCAATGCACCATTGTTGCTACTTTGTCATGCCGCTGCTTGTAATCAGTTTGTGCAATCTTCTTGCAACAGCTTACCACGTGGTCCACTGTTTCTTCAGCTTCTTTGCATAGGCGGCACTTACTGTCTGTTGCTGTCTTCTCAATTTTGACTTTGTATGCATTTGTCCTTAAGGCTTGGTCTTGTGCAGCCAGAGTTAGTCCCTTGGTCTCTTTCTTCAATTTTCCTGCTCTTAGCCATTGCCAGGTCTTGTTATTATCTGCTTTCCCAGCTATTTTTTTTATGTATTGGCCATGTAGTGTTTTGTCTTTCCATGCCTCTCTTCTTTTCTTCATTTGGTCTTTCTTGTAGGCCAGTTTGGTCTCTCCAGTAGTCAGTAAGCCTTCCTGATATACTAATTTCAGTGCATCTTCATCATTGTTCTTCAGATATTCTTCCAAAGCCATTTTTTCTTCTTCAACCATCTGATGTACTTGTAGCATTCCACGCCCACTTATTTGCCTTGGTAGATAAAGTCTGTCAATGTCACTGCGTGGATGAAGGGCATGATACATTGTCATTATTTTTCTGGTCTTCCAATCCATTGCTTTTAGTTCTGCTTGAGTCCAGTCCACTATTCCAGCTGTGTACCTAATGACTGGGATTGCCCAGGTGTTGATTGCCTTTATGGTATTTCCTCCATTGAGTTTGGACTTTAAGATCTTCTTCACTCTCTTGATGTATTCACCTCTAATCTTTTTCTTGACTTCAGTGTGCTTGATGCTGTCAGCTTGAAGGATACCCAAGTATTTGTAGTACTCTTCCTCATCCAGACTCTTAATGTTATTTTCGTGGGGCATCTTGATTCCTTCAGTTTTCATTATTTTTCCTTGTTTGATAGTAAGTGTGGCACATTGTCCAAGCCAAACTCCATAACAATATCTTGGCTATATATACGGACAGTGTTGAGCAGCGATTCTATTTCAGATGATGTTTTTTCATACAGCTTCAGATCATCCATGTAAAGGAGATGGGATAGTCTGGTAGATGTTTTTGATGTTTGATAGCCATGTCCTGAGTTATTCAGTATTGTTGACAGAGGAAACAGTGCAATAACAAATAGTAATGGCGTTATTGCACTGTTTCCTCTGTCAACAATATTTTATAATAATTTATAATAATAATATCATTATTATTATTATTATTGATAATAATATTATTATCAATAATAATCATAATAATAATGTTGGAAGGGACCTTGGAAGTCTTCTAGTCCAAAGTGATTCTGAACAATGTACAATAGTCCAATAAATCAATAAATATATAAAACAATCATTAAAACTATACAGGTAAAACTAAAACAAAAAAAAAGAGAAAAATAGAGGGGTGTTAAAAATAAAGGAGCTATCTCACAAGTTCACCCATCCCCTGGGATTTCCAAGCCTCCTGACATAACCAGGCTTTTAGGGACCTTCAAAATTCAGAAATGCTGAGGCAGGCTTTTCTGCTGTGATGCCTGCATTATGGAATCTTCTATCTCCAGAAAAGAGGTCTGCCTAGGGCCCAACAAATGTAGCTTCTTAGATGATGGAACCTGTAACATGCCCATTCTGTTAAATTTAGTGGGACAGGTAGATAAAATCAGGAAGCTGGTCCCTCAAATAACCTGGTCCTATGCCATGTACAGCTATAAAACACCTTGAACCAAATCAGAAACAGATTGGTAATTAATGTAATTTGCATAGCAGAGGTATAATACGTATACTATTAGAAACACACATAACAACTTGTGCAGCTGCATTTTATATCAGCTGTAATTTCCAGATACTCTTGAAGGGCAGCTCCATGTACAGCACACTGCAATAGTTCAATCAGAAAGTAATTCTGAGTGACTGCGAATAGGGCCCTTGATTCTTGAATGGGGGTAAGTGGTCAGCAATATGAAGTTGTGCAAAGGCCCTCCCAGATATGGCTGCCATCTGCTCTTTATCATGAGTTCAGGAGCATCCCAGATTGCACACAGGGACTGTTTGGGGGAACACAACCCCTTCTGGCACCAGGGATTGAATAATCCTCAAACCAGAAAGCTCCAAAACTCAAAGCTACTCAGTTTTGCCAGGGTTCTGTCAGGTGCAAGTAATCAGGAACAGGAGTTAAGTTCAAAGCACTAAAAATTTATTGCTACCTATACACAAGAATCTGATCAACTAATAGTCAAGTCAATTTGGCACTAGATAAGAGTTAAAAGAATTCCCTGGGGTGGGGGTGGGGAACTAAACTTAGGACGGTGCTATGTAAGGATTCCAAACTGAAGATGCATTTGACTCACCTTCGGGCTCTGCCTGCTCATCTTTTACATCACTCCCCCCTCCAACCTGCCTCTTCCCTCTTTCATGGCTCTTTTTCAAAGTTTATAACATTTTATACAAAAGCAAATAATAGGACACAGTGGGAATGGAAAGAGGGGAAAAAAGTGAGGAGGACAGAGGGAAAGGAAAAGAAAAGGCATTGTCTTCCGACTCCCTCTGTTGCTGTAGAATAGGGCAGTAACATTGAATCTCAACTTTTTACTTTTCCATAGTAATATAAATTAGCCATTTCTATAACAGCAAATCAATCTAATCAGTAAAACCCAAAATCAAAGCTTCATTTTTTTCCACTTCAAGCACAAAGTCCAGAAGTGGTCTCCAAGTAGAAACAAAAGTACTTATATTCTTTTTTTTAATCAAAACAGTCAATTTAGCCATCTTTGCCAACTCCATCAGCTTCTATAGCCATTTGTCCATAGTGAGAATCTAAATGTCCTTCCATTGTTGTGCATACAGTAGTCTTGCTGTTGTCAACATATATAAGATCAAAGTTCCAACGTTTTTTCCCAAGTCTTTTTCCATTAAGCCCAAAATAAAAGTTTCTGGTTTCATCTGTATCTTTACTTTAAGGGTTTTCTATATTAAGATATGAATCCTATTCCAATATTTCTTTGCTTTATCACATGTCCACCATAAATGATAAAAGGTCACTTCTTTACATTTACATTTCCAGCATTCATTTGAAATACCTTTATAGATTCTGGATAATTTATCTGGTGTTAAATACAAGCAATACATCATCTTTTACAAATTTTCTTTTAAATTATAGTTTAGTGTGAATTTTAAACCATTCATCCACACGTTCTCCCATTGTTCAAGCATCACATTATATCCAAAGTTCCTTGCCCACTGAATCATACAATGTTTTACATGTTCACTTTTCAAATTCAGTTTCAGTAACATTTTACAAACCTTAGTAATAATATGTTCATCACTACCACACAATAAGATTTCCAATTCATTTTAACAAAATCAAATCCATAACTCTTTTTATCTAGTTTGAATCTTTCTTTCAGTTGCTGATACGTAAATCAATGACACACATAATCCTCTGATTCTAATTCTTCCCTCGACTTAAGGGTAAGGTCATGAAAGTTGAAAAGTATTATTTTACCATAAGTCCACCAGTCTGGTTTTCTAAAAAAAGCATCCGGGGGGTGGGGGGGACACCAAAAGAGGCAACTTTGTGAAAAACTTTGTTTTATATTTGTTCCACACTTTTAGTATGGGAGATCCAGCAAAATAGTTGTTAAAATCATCATTAA